ATAATATACTAATAATAATAAGAATAATAATAAAATAATAATAATAAAATAATATTATATATAATATAATAATATAATAATAATAATAATATAATATTATTATTATATAATAATAATAATAATATGATAATAATAATCATAATAATAATAATTATATAATAATAATATCATGGCTAAAAAGCATCTAGGAGAAACTGGTACACAGCCCTACTATAAATACACGCCGCCACCTGTGATAGAAACGGAGACCTCTAGGCTGTACTGGAACCGTAAAATCATAACTGACAGGCCCATCCCCAACAATTCCTGACATAGTGCTCACACTAAAAGAAGAAAGAACGACGTTTATAATAGACATAGCTGTGCCTCTTCCTACTAATATCCAAACCACCCATGCGGAAAAAATCAATAAGTATTTGCCACTCTCCGACGAAATCAAACGCATGTGGGAAATGGGCAATGTGTCTATAATACCAGTTATAATAGGAGCTACTGGAGAGATACCAAGGAAACTACACAAGAGTCTGGAAAAGCTACAGCTCCATCCAAAAATATACTTGCAACTGCAAAAAGCTGCACTGCTGGGAACATGTAGGACAGTACGTAGGGTTTTAGGAGATGAGAACCGGATACGGTGAAAAGACCGCTGCAGATCTATTTCCTTACTTTGGCTAACCGCCTGAGGGAAATATTAATACCTTCGACAGGGGAGTAAAATAGTATAAAATAATAATCATGATAATAATATTTATAATAATAGTAATATTAACAATAATAATATTTATAATAAATACTAATAATAATAAATATAATTATAACACATCATAATAATAATAATATTTATAATAATAACAATAATAATAATAATAATACTAGTAATAATAATTATAATAATAATAATAATCATAATAATAATAAAATAATAGTTATAATAATCATAATAATAATAAAACTATAATTATAATAATAATAATAATTATATTATTATTATAATAATAATAAGAGCTATAATAATAATAATATAATAATTATAATAATAATAATCATAATAATTATAATAATAATGATAATTAATAATAATAATAATAATCATGATAATAATATTATAATAATAATAATAATAATAATAATAGTTATAATAATAATAATAATTATAATAATACTAATAATAATCATAATCATCATAATAATTAATATAATTCTAATAATAATGATTATAATATTATAATAATAATTATAATAATTATTATAATAATAATATATAATACTATAATAATAATAATAATATCCATACCATACCATACCATACGATTTATTGACCACCTATACATATACATGTTTGAAGTCACAAACTAGATAAAGTTTCTACAGAGTCTGTCTTCTTGCTCTACACACGATCACTGATCACTAGGATCACATGCACTTAAATATTACTTACAGTAATTAAGTATTCGCTTACAGTATAGAAGCAGTTTTGTAACAAGTAGTTTTTGACAAACTAGAGAACTGTTTGTTAGACATCTTCTCAATATTAGACCGCTTATGATATCTAACAAAGTTATTGTAAAGCGACACATTAATCTTGTTGTTTTGTGTCATGGCGATCCTAGATTGCGGTAATGATATATCATTAGCGTATCTGTATTATAGCTGTGTGTCTCTGATCTTATCGAAAAAGTGCTCAGGTTTGCGTGAACATGTAAAAGGGTCTCATGTATGAGCAGGCATGCTAACGGCAGTATGCGCATCTCTTTGAACAAACCACGGCACGTATGATCGTAGGAGACGCCAGCTACAATCCGTATAGCAGCCTTTTGCATTATAAATGCTTTTTGGGCCTTGACAGAATTACCCCAGAGGATGATACCATAGATCAGATGACTATGAATGATGCTAAAGTATACAGTTCTCATGGTTTGTCTGTGCAAACACTGAGCCAGTTGCCTCATGATAAACATTTGTCGGGAAATCTTGGTACACACCTGGTCCACATGCTCCGACCAGGTCAAGCGGCTATCCACAACGATCCCTAATAACTTTACGGATGATGAAGTCTCATTCCATTTGTCTGATGTTATCTTAGCTTACTGGTTTTCGCTTCATTGAGTTTGAGCTTGTTTGCGGAGAACCACCGCTTAACCTGGTCGAGACTGTGGGCCTCGTCAAGTTGGGTAGCCTTGGAGAGCAGAGTAGTGTCGTCTGCAAAAAGGTAGCATTTGCTATTGTTGACATTTTGTGGTAGGTCATTGATGTATATTAAAAATAATAGAGGGCCCAAGACAGAGCCCTGGGGTACCCCGTTCGTAATCGGTAGAATCTGGGATTGTACCCCATCAAGGCTAACCATCTGTCTCCTATTAACTAAGTATGATCTCATAAGCTGTGATGACTTGCCACGGATTCCCTAGTACTCCAATTTGTCAAGCAGTATAACTGTGTCTACACAGTCAAAAGCCTTGGTTAAGTCACACATAGTTGCTAGAGCGGTGGTTCTCTTGTCAATGCACTCTAAAGCATCCTCAAGAAAACTAAGCATGGCTTTTATGGTTGAACAGTGCTTCCGAAAACCAAATTGTGAAGCTGAAAGGAGGGAGTGCTTTTCAAAGTACTTTATTAATTTTTCTTTGACTACAATTTCGAATAATTTACTTATTAATGGAATTATTGTGATGGGCCTATAGTTATCAAGATTATCTTCATTCCCTTTCTTATGAATGGGAATGACCTTTGACAATTTGAAAGCATCAGGCCACACGCCTTCATTAACACACTTATTAAATAGTATTGTTAAGGTTCAATGAAATCCTCACTGGCTATTTTCATCATAGCACTGTTCATACCATAGAAGTCGAGTGAGGGTGAGTTTTTTAGTTGAGCTATAGCACACCTCACATCTATTTGGAGTATCGCAGACATGAAGAACGAATGCGGTGTCTTGGGAGTACGGTTGAGGAGATACAAGTAATTAATAGTAGGCTTTATGCCCTCAAGAATTTTACAAGAAATAGTACTGAAAAACTATTGAATTCATCACTTGAGAGATTTGTGTGTTTCTGTTTCCGGATGCCTCTCTCGCTATCGACCATCTTCCAGATTGTTTTAGTTTTATTTCCGCCTGGTGTATCATTTCAGAGTAAAAGTTCCTTTTTTCCAATTTCAATTTTTGACGGTATATTCTACGTATATCCTTATACCTCTCCCAATCACGCTCATCCCCACTATGCGAAAACTGGCTCTTTGCGATCACCATATCTTTCCTTAGCTGCTTCAGTGTTTGCGTATACCACTTAACTTTGTGAGCTGACTTATCCACAGCTTTTAACGGAAAACAATTAATAATCATAATAATAATAATAATATAATAATAATAACTAATTATAATAATTAATAATTATAACAATCATAATAGTAATAATAATTATAATTATAATAATAATAATAATTGTATAATAATAATAATAAATAATTATAATAATAATAATATAATTATAGTAAATAATAATAATAATTATAATAATAATAATGTTATAATTATTAATATTTATTATAATATATAATATAAATCCCCGCAGGGGGTATCTACTTTTGAAGCCGGATCTTTGATCCCGTTTCAAGAGAAGATACATGGGGAGCGTCGCCCCCACGGCCCCAGGCAGGGAGTTCGGGGTTTGGTAGTCTTACTAATTCTGCCAAACCCTGGACTTTTCCTTCCCCTTTTCTCCCATTCTTTCTCCTTTTATTATCCTGTACAGCTGTCCGCTTTCCCCCGACTTTCCTTCTCCTATCCTTACCCCATGCGTTGAGGCGGCGTGTGGAGCTTCCTCTTAGCCTCCCGGGTGTTTGTGCCGTGCCCGGCGACCCGTAAGCTGGCCAATGGAATCCTGGTGGTTGAGCCCTACCAGTCAGGGGGGCAACACGCCACTTTGGTCCGGCGGTCAGTCTAGAAGGGCGGCCACGCCTAGCCCAGCGTTGGTCAATCGGCTGCGCCATCCCGTCAGAGGGCTGGCTGGGCGAGCCTCCACAGGTAGTAGAAGCCAGACGAGGATGGTTTGCTATCCTCGATGTATGGTGGAGCTATCTGTGGGGACTATACTTCCTTTGTTTCGACATTCACGGTATCCCTGGGGTTGTGTTCTAGCGGAAGGCGACAATGAGCACAATCTCCCGTTGAGGCTCCATGGAGGGTGGGGAGCCGAGGAAGTGAAGATCAGCATTTCGCATGGCAAACAAAACAAAAACCAAGGGTGTGCCTGCCCCCCTAAATGTAGGCAACGATGGCGAAGGTGGAGCTACATGTAGAGCTTCCACTGGACCGAACAATAATGTCAAGGAGACGGATGGGCCCGTCCCCCGGTTCCTTGTCATCAAGAGAGTTGATAATGATAATTTTGCAACAGTTAGTCCATTCCTTATTTCTAAGACCATAAATGGTATAATAGGAGACCCTAACTCTGTTAAAAAGATTAAAGCTGGCATATTGGTGGAAACAAAAACAGATGCCCAGTCTCACAGACTCATAAGAATACAGCATTTTACAGATATTCCTGTCACAGTAGAAGCCCACCCAACGCTAAATTCTAGCAAAGGGGTCGTGTACTGCAAAGACCTCTTAAATTGCCCTGAAAGTGAAATTCTCGAGGAACTGAAATCAGAAGGAGTAATACATGTACAGAGAATTAGAGTCAAGAGGGACAATGAACTGCGTGATACTCCAAATCACATAATCACATTCAACTCCCCCAGATTACCATCGAAACTTAAATGCGCTATGTATAAACTTGATGTTCGGCAGTATATTCCCCCACCAGTACGCTGCTTTAGATGCCAACGGTACGGCCATACGTCATTGTCTTGCCAAAATGAACAGGTATGCATATGTGGAAAGGAGTTACACATGGGAAGACCATGTGATCGCCCGGTACAGTGCCTAAATTGTCACGGGCCTCACGTGGCTTCATCGAAGGAATGCCCAAGATACAAAACAGAATTGGCTATTCAGAAACTGATCGCTACTGACAAAATAAGTTATATTGAGGCCAAGAAAAAGGTGGTGGTGCATACTCCACAACCAAACGTGTCGTATGCACAAGCCACGCAAAAGAGCCAGGATGATGATATTATCGAAAAGATCATCCCACGTCTGACTAATATCATCCAATCTTCGATTTCTCAAGCACTGAAAGGCAAAGACTTCCATGAAATTGAGCAACCTCAATTCGTTACACCTCAGCCAAAAGTATCACATAGCTTGTCTCTTAGAAACCACAGCCAATCAGATGCCTCTAATCAATCAAAAAGAAAGGCATCCTCACCTGTTGATGGGTCAGATCTCTCTGATGCAAGTCTAACGTCATCTCAGACCGACGACCCAGAATCCAGAAAAGGCAAGCGCGGCTGGCCGAAGGGTAGACCCCGAAAGAGGGCTGCTCCAGCTCAAACCAAGCCAGATCAAATCAACGCAAGAACTAATACTGCGTCTTGTGGACAACCTAATGCTTCAAACCCACAATCTGGAGACAACCAGATTGGAAGCGAACCTAACTGTGATGAACCTGTGATAGATAGTTAAAATTTTAATATTTAATTCTATGTTAATTTATTCACCTTAATTTGATATTTGTTTACTTGTCCATGTATTTATATATTTATTTAATATTTACTTTTACATTATTTCTAACTTTACATCTATTTGGGATAGTTTCTCCATATTTTAATTGTAGGAGTTAAACTTTTTAGTACAATATGCAAAACATAATGCAATGGAATTGCAATGGTTGTGTGTCTCATCTGAATGAACTTCGTGTGATGGTTAGGGAGAACGATCCTTTCTGTATTGCATTACAGGAAACCCACTTCCGTCCAGAGACATCTTTCTCTCTTAGAAACTACAATACTTACCGCAAGGATGTCATACCAGACCGCAGAGCACGAGGTGGTGTGGCCTTACTCGTAAAGCAGAATATCATAGCGCAGGAACAGAGACTGGATACGGAACTTCAAGCTGTCGCAGTTCGCATCACAACGCCATTTGCTGCTACATTGTGTAGCTTATACTTACCTGATGGCGATTGGCATATTGATCAGTTGTACAGGCTTCTATCAGAGCTTCCAAGACCAATTATTTTGATGGGCGATTTTAATGCGCACTCACCTTTTGGGGATCTATGCGCAGAGATATCCGGGGACGAACTATAGAGGAATACATTGATTCATCGAACTTAGTTCTATTGAACTCAGGGTCTCCTACGCACTTCGATATCAGAACAGCTGGATCCTCTGCTATAGATCTCTCACTATGCTCTCCACAACTGGCTACTAGATTATCCTGGAAGGTCTTAGATGATCTCAATTTTAGTGATCACTTTCCAATCATCATAACAACGGATGTCCCCAAACTTTTCTATCCGTCACATAAAAGATGGTTATCTGCGAAAGCTGATGGAACACATTTTCTGAGCACCTTCGTATCCCTCCTCTAACTGAAGACATTAATACAGCAGTGGACGATATCACACACGCTATAACAGATGCAGCAAAGATTAGCATTCCCATGACATCCGGGACCTCATCTAATAAAGCTGTGCCGTGGTGGAATGAAAACATTCAGAATGCAGTCAACGAGAAGAAAACCGCTCTGAATAGATTCAAGCGCAACTCAACCATGGCCAACATGATCTCTTTCAAAAAACTACGTGCTAAAGCACGAAGGCTCATAAATGAGAGCCAAAAGAAATCATGGCAAACTTATGTCTCGTCCATAACTTCTGAAACACCTATCAAACAGATGTGGCAAAAGATCAATGTTATTGCAGGCAGGAATCCGTTTAGACCCCCAAGCGCTTTGAAGGTAGCTAATTCGGTAATCGAGGATGTTTCTTGCATATGCGACACGTTTGCAGACCAGTTTGAACACGCCAGCAGCAATGCAAATTATGATCCCAACTTTCAGCAGCTCAAACTAAATTCCGAAGCACAGGGAATCAATTTTGACACATCAGAACTACATCTATACAATGTACCATTCTCATATGAAGAACTCGAGTCTGCCTTAGAGAACTGTAAAGACTCTGCACCGGGTATAGATATGATACCTTACTGCATGATTCGAAACCTTCCAAGGTCTGTCAAAACTCAGTTACTACAGATATTCAATAATGCGTGGGTGCGAGGTATATACCCTGATGCCTGGAAGGTTGCCATTATAGTACCCATTCTCAAAGACGGTAAAGACCCTACTTCACCTAACAGCTATCGACCTGTATCGCTAACCTGCTGCCTGGGAAAACTCTTTGAAAGAATGGTAAGTCTTAGACTAGTATGGTACCTAGAACATAACCAGCTGATCTCAAACAATCAGGTCGGCTACAGGCAGTACCACTCCACGGTAGATGCACTCGTAAATCTTGAAAACGCAGTCCAGGATGCATTCATTAAAAGGCGTCACCTAACGGCAGTCATGTTTGACCTGGAAAAAGCGTTCGACATGACCTGGCGCTTCGGTATTCTGAAACAGCTCCACGAATGGGGTCTTCGTGGCAATCTCCCAAAACTTATCCAAAATTTCTTGTCTCATCGCTCATTCCGAGTCCAGGTCGGAGACTCCAGGTCCTCGACAGGAGGTTGGAAAATGGCGTTCCACAAGGATCCGTTCTAAGTGTTTCACTATTCATCGTAGCCATTAACTTCCTGGTTGATAGCACTCCTCCGAACATTCAACCCCTCTTATATGTAGACGATCTCTGCATATTCTCCACCGCCGCACTTGATGGAAACTTTGACCATCTGCAGGATGAAATAAACAGACTAGACTCTATAGCAAGGGATAGAGGGTATTCCTTTTCAGCAACAAAATCGACGTGCATCCATTTTTGCAGACTTCGCACAGCACATCCGCAAGTCTCTCTCACACTGAGAGGACAAACTATAAAAGCTGAAAACTCTGTTAACTTCCTGGGCATTATTTTGACCACAAGCTCTACTGGAAGGATCAAATTGAACATCTCACAACTCGTTGTAGAAAATCTCTCAACCTGATCAAATGCATAGGAAATACCCGATGGGGTTCAGACCGCGAAGCTCTCATAAAGGTTTACAAGAGCCTAATCGAGTCTCGAATTGACTATGCCAGAGTTGTTTACAATTCTGCAAGACCATCCAAGATCAAGGCACTTGAAAGGATTCAATTGGCAGCCCTAAGAGCGGCTACAGGGGCTTTTCGTACGAGTCCTTCAAGTGCCGTCCTCTGTGATGCTGCAGCAATACCCTTACAATTAAGAGGTGAAATGCAAACTGCCATCTATATGACTAAAATAAAATCTCTTACCAGACATATTAATCTGAGTATATTGGAAAGCGATAACGAACATACAAATCGTCCAACGTATACACGTCCAGCCAGAATCCGTAGCCTTGAATTCCAACAAGCGAACAACATATCAATAAGGGATGTGTTGCAGAGAGCCCCATACGACACTCCACCTTGGACTAGGTCAAAGCCACATATTGATATTCGCCTTTCTGTATTTCTTAAAAATGAGACAGCACCCCAGGTGTATCTCGCTCGTTTCAAACAAATTACAGATCACCTCCACGATCATCTCTTCATATACTCGGATGGATCTAAGAGCAGTACCGGAGTGGGAGCATCAATAGTAGTTAACAGTGTTTGCCACATGTGGAGTCTGGATCCGATTTCAAGTATTTTCACTGCAGAATGTTATGCCATCTGGCAGGCACTTCTATTCTTTGCATTGTCATCTAGCTTAGCGTGTTCGATAGTATCAGACTCTCTGAGTGTGATCAGCTCCATAGGAAATAACTTCACCAAGGATGAAAGAATAAGTCGAATCTTGAACTTAACCAGCTCACTAGAAAATGACCATAAAAAAGTCCGTTTCATATGGGTACCTAGTCATGTGAATATTATCGGCAATGAATTGGCTGATGCAGCGGCAAAGCAAGCAGCCACCATGGCACCGGATGAAGGCATTCCTACTCCGCTATCTGACTATGTAAAACACTTAAAAGACACCACAAAACAAGCATGGCAGCACAAATGGGACCTATATGACGGACACATGAGATCCGTCCAAACAAGTATCGAAAAATGGACTTATCCGAAGCAACTGAATCGTCGGCAGCAGACAGTCTTATGCCGACTACGAATTGGCCATTGTAAGTTGACCCATGCGTACCTGTTGGCCGGCGATCACAGACCACAATGTCTAGCATGTCAAACAGACCTCACTGTTCAACATATTCTGGTGGAATGTCGACTCTACAGTGATCTCCGCAGGGAACTACAGATGTCTTCCAATATACAACCCTGCTCAAAACGGAATGGCCAAAAGTTATGGATTTCCTGCTGCGCTCGGATACATACACCAAGATATAGATACTCCTATTTCGTTACGCCTCCAGCCACTTCCACATCAACATTTTACGACGCATTCTCACCTACATCCCATACCTATCTGTACTTACCTTATTATCCTTGTACCATACTGGACAGCTCTGAAAAATAAAATGGTATGCACGTGGATGTCACATCATTAGACAACTGAAGAGGCAGCTTAGCTATTAAAGATCTCAGTCACATGCGGAGTAAATATTGAACTTGTCTGTATACTATACTTACTGTTATTTATACCATATATGTTTGTCCTGTCTTTCTATTTCCATCTCAGATCTACCCCTGAGATGTTAGGTTTGGAAAAAAAAAAAAAAAAATGACCTAATGAGGCAGGAGGGAAGCGGCTAATGACCTAGAAGTCGATGCCGCTGTGGGTAAAAAAAAAAAAAAATAATAATAATAATAATTAATAATTAATAATAATAATAATAATAATATAATAATAATAATTATAATAATATAATAACAATAATGTTAATAATAATAAATTATAATAATAATAATAATAAATAATTATAAAATAAAAAAGAATTATATATATAATATAATGATAATATAATATAATAACAATAATAATAATATAATTATATAATAATAATAATACTAATAATAATAATAATAATAATTATAATAATTATAATAATAATAATAATAGTAATTATAATAATAATAATTATAATAATAATAATAATAATAGTATTAATTATAATAATCATAACAATAATTATAATAGTAATAATAATAATAATTATAATAATAACAATAATAATAATTATAATAATAATAATAATGTAATTATAATTGTTGGAAACGCGTACTAGCGTCACCCCGCCGCGCCGCTACTGGCGAGACGACCAGACAGGTTGCCTAACCTAGAAGCTTGTAACCGCCGTCCTGTCCCCGCGCGCCGCACCTCGGAATGCAGTCAGTAGTGAGAGTCAGTCGTGGGAAGTAGTCGAAGTACCAACAGCAGCCAGAACACGCGCGCGGATCGCGGAACGCGGAAGCCCGGTCTACACCTGTAGCTTATCTACCCATTCATGTACAAGTACTGAATAAACTGTTCTGAACCGAAGACCACTGCGAGTTGAATTGATCTGCTTACCTATCCTCAACAGGTTACGTGCCAGAAACAGTGCTACGGACATTGAACAATTATTGCAAGTGCTGAAGATAATATAGGAAGTGTGTGACTAGTGTTATCAAACATGAGTGTGGCAAAAGTATCCTGTATAGACTCGCTTAGCAGGGATAACTACGACACGTGGAAAATACAGATGAGGGCATTGCTGGTAAGAAACGATCACTGGAGTTATGTATCTGGCGAGATAAAGCAGCCACGGATAGATGATGGGGACGAAGCATCCACGAGAGCTGTAGAAGCCTGGACTAAAGGTGACAGCAAGGCGATGTCGGACATAATTTTGTCAATAAGCCCCTCAGAAATCAAAACAGGTAAAGAACTGTAATACATCCAAGGAACTGTGGCAAAAGTTGGAGGGTATTTACCAATCAAAAGGACCCGCTAGAAAGGCCACATTGCTCAAACAGCTTACACTGCAACGTATGGAAGAGGGACAGGACATACGATGTCATTTAAACTCATTTTTCGATGCAGTTGACAAGTTAAATGACATGGATGTAGAAATCAATGCAGATCTATTAGCGATAATGCTATTGTATAGCCTGCCAGCCAGTTTTGAAAACTTCAGGTGTGCAATTGAGTCTAGAGACGAATTACCATCCCCGGAAATTCTTCGAATAAAAATTATAGAAGAGTATACTGCGCGGAAAGGCGACGTTCGAGAAACGGAAGGCGCCATGTTCGTGAAGCGGAATCAGGGTTGCCAGACCTATTTCTATAAGTCCCCCAGCCTAAATAACAAATTCCCCCAAAAAGCACATCTTTAAAAAAATCTCCCAAAACTTTCAAAGATATTTATTATTATTATTATACTTTGCAGGTTGGCTAAGATTGTCTTATGAGTATGGTATTTATGGTAATAACACTAATAAACTAATAACAAGTAACATAAATATATATTTTTTACTATCATAATATACGAGTAGTATGCTACAGCTCCGAGAATGCATTTAAAACTTCTTCCTCCTCCTTTTTGCAATCATACATTCTTTCAGAATTGAAATATTGCAACATATTTTCAGTTGGTTGAAAATCTGTACAACCATTTTTTAAATTGCACAGGTACCATCGAACTCTCATGATAGCATCTGTACTATGAATGCCAAGCGATTTCTAAGTATGTTTTTTACCACATTTATAATGGAAAAAGCTCTCTCAACTGAAGCATTAGAAAATGGAAGGCTAAGTAACGCAAGAGCTAATGATGAATATTTTTATATCTAGGTTCCCCTGCTGCATCGACGTTATTTGCCACCTCAACCCAAAACTTTTCTGTATCATGCAGGTTTATCCAATTTATTCGAGGAAGTGATTTCCATTCTGCAATTGTACTATCAAGGTCAGGACATATTGTTGAGAAAGATAAAGCAATATTAGTTATTTCAGGTTGACGTATCTTGGATGTAGCTAATTCGGGGTTAAATGAATTTATTTTCTCCAAAATATTCATACTTTCAGGGATTCTCATTTGAATTTGTCGACATAATTCCACTAAAAAATCTTTACATCTAGTTCGCACCATTAGTAGTTCATCTTGTTTAATTGCTAAGGATGACGCTTTTGAATTGAACGAATATCCTAAATTTATCAATTCTATATCCATAATGTAATCTTCAAATTTGAAATCAACGACGTTATTTTTTGAAATTTATTATTTATATTATATTTTCATAGGTGGTACTAAAATACTTAGGTTATTGAAAAGTAATAAATTCAAATCTTCCATTAATTTCAGTGGATCTGCACACTCTGACTGAAACAGTTTATTAACTCTAATTATTTCTTTCAATGTCCAACTCAAAAAGGTGAAATATAATACATTAGTTTGGTCCGATAACATTTGAAACAGCTGTTCAGCCATATAACACCTTTCATTATCTTTTACTATACCAAAGTGTATTTTTAATGCATCCCATTGTTCTAGAATTTTAACTATCGCATTGTATCTGGCTAGCCATCTGGTTCCTGATAGTGGTCAATTTTTAGTGGTTTTTGATCCGTCAGTGTTTCAAATATTTGTTTGTATGCTATTTGAATTTTTGTACTACAAGAGAACCAATTGTGGCATTCCTTGATTATAAAGTCCAAATGACGAGGTAGAAGTTTAAATGCATACTCTGCTGCAAATGCAGAGAATGACAGACGCACTTAATAATAACAAGTTCATTATTCTTTGCTTTCAAAAAGAAGCTACTGAATTATGCGCTCCAACCATAACATTGGCTCCATCAACACCGATTCCTATTAGATTGCCTAATTTTAAACCGTCTAGCTCCAGTTGTTTTGTCACCGCAGCCGAGATAGTTATGGCATCTCCCTTTTCAATTTCGATAAGTTGTAGAAAGTCGTAACAATCTTAGTTTGCTTTTTACTAAATATTTTATCATAACGCATAGCATTTTTGTGGAATCGACTGCAGTGCTCATCTATAATCAATGAATATTTACTATCTGCAACATCCAAAAGTAAGTCATTTAGTATTGAAGGAGCCAACACATTCAATATTAAAGATGTACATTTAGTTCTGTGTAATTTAACGTCATTTAATATTTCAGATGATTTATCTAATTTTTTTAAAAGTGATCCAAGATGATCAATTGTTGCAAGTGAGCAGTGCTCACATATGAATGCAGCAATTTTTAATTCTGCTATTTTCCTGCTGGCGGTCAAACCTTTTTTCATAAACTCAGTAATTTTTTTACTCGGGCCAGCCAAAGATCTTTTCTCCGCCTCTTGATGTTTCTTACTTTTACCGTGAAGCAGTAAGTCTTTTTTATGTGCAGCTAAAGTACATTTACATATCTTACAAGCGACTTTGTCTCATCTGCTAATACAGGACCAATCCATCCTATATGGAATGAATAATTATAATTAATAACCCACACCATCAAAATTTCAATAGATTACCTTTAAGTTCAGCATCGGATTCCCAAGCAACTCGGTATTTTCGGGTATATAACGACTTCTTTTCTTTAGGCATATTTAGATTGACACGTACAACACTAATTTGGATAAACCATGCGTATTGAACACTCCAAAGTAAAGAAATATAGCCTATAAAGTTAATGATAGGAAAGGAAATAAAGTTACACGATTCTCTGGGTTTCACATAGATGAGAAACACTTATTTAATCGCGCCAAATAACGCACAAATACAAAATAATATTTTGCCGCTATTGAAGGAAACTGTAATGTAGGTGCTCAGAATAATTTTAATAGTTGTTGAAAGATGGCAGGATTATCTGTAAATGAATTTATATTTATTCAAAGTTGTTCTCGAATTCCAATAATTCAATTGAAACTTGAAAATTGGTCGGACGACAGAATGTCTTCTTAAAATCGCACCCCAAAAAACCCCAAACGGAATAATTTTCCCCCAAAAATCCCCCACGCATTGCATACCCCCAAAAATTCCCCCAAGCAATGAAAAATACCCCAAATTTGGGGGAAAATCCCCAATCTGGTAACCCTGAGCGGAATTATGGGAAAAATCACGGTCACGCAGGAAATGGCGGACGGGCAGCGGCGTCTCGGAAGGTGCACGAGGCAGCGGCGTCTCGGAAGGCAGAAGAACGTTCAGGTATAAGTGTCACAGATGCCGAAAAGTAGACCACAAGGCCGCTGAATGTCCAGACAAAGGTAAGACTGTTGCCAATTCTTACAAAAGTGAAGCGAACTGTTCCGAACACGTGGGACTCGTTACCGCGGAATGTTATCATGTTGAACAGAATCACAAAAGACTGAAATGGTGTCTAGACAGTGGCGCAACGTCTCACTTATGTAAAGACATTAGTTGTTTTTCTGACCTTGAACGTAGACATGATCATTTGAATTTAGCAAATAGTGAATTTAGGGACATTACAGGTTCCGGAACAGCTACGTTTGTTGCTGACGTTTTTGGCGACACGAAAAACATCTCACTCCACAAAGCTTTCATGTTCCCGACCTAAGAGTAAACTTACTTTCTGTTGCAAAGATTACCGATAAAGGATTTGAAGTTTTATTCAAGAAAGAAAATGCTTTGATCTATGATAGTAATGGTGATATAAAAGTTGTAGCCGATCGTAGTGGCGATTTATACTACGCGAGAGAAGGCGAAGCGCAGAATAAATCAGCTTTCATTTCGACCATGAATTCTAAAAATGTCAAACTATGGCATCGTAGATTAGGACATTTGAACTTTCAGGATTTGAATTCTCATTGAAGAAAGGAAGACTAGGTGGAATAAATATTGAAAATATGCCTAATAATGGGGAACTTAATTGCGAAATTGCATACGCGGAAAAATGACGCGTTCACCATTCCCAAAGAAGTCCGACAGGGAATCGGAAATGCTAGAAATCGTACATACTGATGTTTGCGGTCCCATGCGAGTAGAATCTCACTCGAAGTACAAATATTTGTCGAATTCATAGATGATTATTCTAGGTATTGCACGGTATTCTTCATGAAACATAAAAATGAAGTTGTGCGAAAGACTCAGGAATATATTACACTGGTCGAAAACCAAAAGAACAAAAAGATAAAGTGCATCCAATCTGACAACGGGACGGAGTACACATGTAAGGAAATGGAGGATCTCCTGAAAAAGCACGGAATTTCACGTCGCTTGACTGGCCCATACACTCCGGAACAGACCGGTATAGCGGAGAGGAAAAACCGCACTCTCTTGGATACAGCACGTTGTCTAATCATGCAGTCGGCTTACCTCCGATCTTTTGGGCTGAAGCCATCAACACGGCCAACTATTGCGGAACAGATGTCCATCCAAAA